CAGTCCATGGTACTCTCAATACTCTTCTCCAGCACCACAGCTCAAAGGCATCAATTCTCCTTCTGTCCTCCCTAGTCATTGTCCAACTCTCTGATGTGATTGCAGAGACAAATGATTGCAAAGATTTTAAAAAAAAATTGTATCTTAGGTTTTCTTTTATTCCCTAAATTTCTAACCCAAATTAAACTCTACCTAGTACCGAGTACATCAATGAATTGATTGCTACATTTGCCCTGATGAGATTTCAAGCTCATGAGGAGGCAGAGAAAAGTTCTGGCTTGATAGTCACTGGCATAGGAGGCTTTATAGTTATTTATTAGAAGACAGCCCGAGAGGAAAAGTAATAAATGCATTTACATGATCCTGTATTGCTAAATACACACACTGCTGCTGTCTTGTCTTTACTGCTTCCTATAAGAATCATCATTTCAATGCACTAATCTTTTAAACAGCCGTTCAGTGGGAATTGGGCTAGAACCTTGCTAAAGGGTCACATTCACCGCCTGACAGTTATACATTTACAAAAGAAATAGCATGACTTTATTCAGCATCAAAACCTCTGCATCTTTTACCACTCAACTGCATTTCACACTGTATTACCATCAGTGCACTATAATGGCTATATAAATTCCATCCAGATTCTTCATTTAATTAACTGGCATTCTTTGAACAAAAATAAAAGTGCTGTTTTTATAGGAGAATAAAAGCTTCATGAAGTGAGTGTGAAGGAGACAAATCATCAAATTAGTCATTCTTCACCATAGCTCTGGATAATTCCCTGTCCCGCCTCTTTCTCTTCAGAGGCAATGTGTTTTTTTTGAGCTTGATTGGATGGAAAATGGAGAGTGGTGTAGCAGCCTCGAATGTGTTTGAATACATTGTAATTGCCACTTCCTAAGCTCATACAGGGCTGCTCACAAATGATACTGTCACCTATAAGTGGACTTGGGTGTTTAAATTTTTTGTGTTGTTTTAATTTTTTTTTCTATCATTGAGAGACACTGTATAGTCCATTACCCAAAGAATGTACGCACCTCTCTGACAATTCAAATCCCCCAGCCGCAGTGCAGGGAGAAAATGGGCATTCTCCTCCTGTGTAGTTTATAGCTTGGGAAACACCCTGGAGACTCAGCCACGAGTCAGTTCCCACTCAAAGGCAAGGACTTTGAGTTTGATGATGTAGTTGCCACTTGAATTCCAGGGTTCAGATCATTACTTGGCACAAATCTTAAGCAAGTTCCTTTTTCTCTGTGTTAGTTTCTTCCTGCAGAATGTGAACGGTAATCAGACCTACTTTGCTCAGCAGCATGCAGATTAGCCAGCCTGATCCACGTGAAACAGAGCAATGCCAGCACATGGGAAGCCTTGCCTCCCCTCTGCACAGCAGTGGCCCACTGTGACCTTGATCAGTCTCCGACAGCACTGGTGTCTCTATTGATCAGCTTGGCTGAACTGATTGGTCTGGTGGTTTCAGTGGATGTTCTTCCCTTCCTGGGACAATTCTTTCTAAATGTGCCCTCTTATGATAAGACAAGTAATTTCAGCTGAGATGAGATAAAGTTCTTTTTCAGGGCTAGAAGAGTGGGCAGTTGGCTAACCATATCCACCCCTGTGCCAGCCTGCTGCCAAGTTTCGCTTTCCAAAGCACCGTGTTCATCTATTAACTTCTGCTTCAAGAGTTTCCCAGTCGATCCTGTCTGTTGCGTCATTTCCACCAGAGCCTGACCTCTTTCTTCCCTCGCTCCAACCTTTTGGATCTCACTACTCTCGTGTTATGCACCTTCAAGTCGGAATAGATGCATCACTCATCTGCCAGGGGGTTTCCAGACTGCTCATCTCATTCCTTTGGGGCAGTTGGTGGATTTGAACTGTTGTGCCTTTGGGTTACTCTCCTTTAAGAACACTAAGACAAACACAAAACCATTTGCAATCTAGTCACCTATGACAACCTTACGTCAGGTTTTTAAGGCTGTTAGTCTTTGTGGAAAGAAACGGCCCATTTTTCCTCCTGCAGAGTGACTGGTGGTGTCCACCTGCCATGCTTCTGGTTAGCCCAGCGTATTGCTGCATCCTGAGCCACCACGTCTTGTAGGAACCCTCTGTGCCGTTTAAATTAATTGTGTCTCACTTCACAAATGTTCGACATTTCTTCTGGCTTTGCTTATTTTGTTCATCATTGGTCTGGCGTTACCCAACTCTCCTCCACTTACTAAAAACCTACCTAACCGTCTAAGTTGAACCAGAAAAAGAGAGGATATTCTTTTACTGCCTCTGTATTTTTACATATACTATGGTTCTCTGTTTGGAATAAGTACAAAATTAATATCAATGATAATGAATTGTCTTAATTGCTCTTTCAAACTGCTTAGAATCTAACCTTTCATCATACACCTACCACTGTCACTTCATCCAGTCTACAGTCAGATTTTTCCTTCTCTCTTCCTCTTTTTTCTGCTTCCACTGTATGCATCACTTTTATCTGCTCTCAATACAGAAAGAAAAGAAATCGTCTTAAAACTTCACTCTGATCATATCCTTCCTCTGCTCAGAACTCTCCAGTGACTTCCTGTCTCATGCTGAGTCACAGTCAAAGTCTGTACAATGGCCTAGCAGCCTCTTAAAATCTGTCCACGCAGCCCTCACCTTCATTCCTATTACTGCCTCATCCCGTCTACTCCCTCTTCTTGCCTCCCACCACTCCCTATGCCAGCCATACTGGCCCTGCTGTGCTTTAAAGATGGAAGGCACAGTTCCACCACAGGACATTTGCACAACCTTTATCCTCTAAAATCTTCTGAGAAATCATGCATTCATCTCTGTGATCTTCTCTAACACTTCCTCCTAACTAATTCTCTGTCTTCAACTAGATGTTATTCTGCTGCTGGGCATACATACAACAGAACTTCATATATAAGCACTTCGTAAGTATTTATTAAATGCACAGATTTTTTTAAAAAAAATGGCCTGTAAGAAGATACCTACTTCTGAAAAAATATGTCTGTATTCGTCACCATTTCCTGTACTTCACATGTAGTTAGGCTCAAACAAGAACAAGAGTCTCACAACAGCTCCAAGAAAATGAAAATAGCCATAGTTGAATATTAGCCATGGCAATTGGAGCAGAAAGTTCCATTCCAAACAAGAGCAATTTCTGCATCAAGCAAAGAAAACAAAATTGTTTTATAGTATAATACCTGCCATGTTAAATTATATCAGTGTTTTGAGGGACTTTCTTTGACCCCGTCCCAAGCATATTTTGAGAGAATAAGTGGGTTTTGGCTACTCTGTCCTCTTTCTCATGAGTGCAAGGTGGGAAGGCCCTTCCCATGCAATTTACTGCCTCTAGAAAAACCCACTGGAGGCTCAGCTGTGAGTTGGCACTGACTCCACAGTATGTAACAACACAGTCCTCTTTCAAATGAGTTCTGATTAAAGTCCTCAGCTGCTAACTGGAAGGTTGGAGGTTCAAACCCAAGAGCAGAAGAAAAGTATCACAGTCTATTTCCATAAAGATGTACAGCTTTGGAGACCCTCTGGGGCAGGTGAACGCCGTGGTCGTGGGTATCCTTTTCCTAAAGTAGAACACACAGCTAGTGTATCGTGTTTTGTTCGTCACTTACTGGCACGTGGGTGGAGAGCGAACCACATTAATGTTGAGCCAGGCAGACCTGAGTGCAAATTCTGAGATTCCTCTGTGTCCTTGGACAGGTCACATGGCCTCCTGAGGTTCTCTGCTCCTGTATAAAATGATTTTTTAAATTTTTTTTTTATAAAATGATTTTTAATAATGCCGTTCCCATGCAGTTCTAAAGATCAAGTATGAAAAGCCAAATGAAAGCATATGAGATGCAACATCTCTAATAAATGCCTTTTGGAATTGCATCATGCAGAGATGGCTGTCATCTCTTGCTGTTGTATTCTGTCTTTTTTTGTTTAAATTGAAGAAGAGGGGTGGCCCGCTGGTAGCCAAGGGAAGAAGTTCTGCCCCCTGGGACTTGTCCGCAGAGAAGCCTGACACTGCTGTTGATTCTCGGAAGTGCCCAGTGAAGCTGCAGGGGCTCCTCTAGAGCCCGCTGGCCACCACCTCCAGCGTTTTGCAGTAGCCAGCTCTTTCTCATCCTTGGAGCCGGTCCTTATTCCTCTTTCTTTCCATTTTGAGTGCTCTTCCGCATTCTTTCTTTTTCAGAATGTTATGCTAGGTGCATGCAGTTGGAAGGCCCACGCTGAAAATTACCCAAGAAAGCTACAAACGAAAATTATTATTATTATTATTATTATTATTATTATTATTATTATTAATTATTATTGTTAGGCAACCGCTCCCCATAATCAAATAACATGAGTACTAATTGTCCAGTTATGAGGTAAATAACATGTACATTATGGGGTTTTTTAGACTTAAAACCTCAAATGTTTTGGTTTTTAGAATTGAAATTTCATGTGTTGTGTGTTGTGTGTTTTGCACTTTGTTTTAATTTTTTGGTTTGTTTTTTCCCCTCCTAAATGCCATTATAATCTTCAGGAAGCTAAAGCCGTAGTTGAAGAAACAAGAGCCCTGCGAAGTCGGATTCATCTCGCCGAGGCTGCACAGAGACAGGCGCATGGAATGGAAATGGACTATGAGGAAGTAATCCGTCTGTTAGAGGCCGAGATTATAGAGCTGAAGGCTCAGCTTGCTGATTATTCTGACCAAAATAAAGTAAGCAAAGCAGGCCTCCTCTCTAGTTACCATGGTTTCCCTGCCGTTGTCATGTATCCTGTTTTCATTTTCTTTTCATCTGCACTTCTAAACTAGGTCAGTGTTTGTCTCCTATTATTCGATGATGGGATGGTGTGTGGTGAGGGAGGTAACGTGAAGGTTGTTCGCCTTCCCTTAGCCTGACAGGCTTTTTGGGGTAGAATCACATGTGCCTCACATTTATGCAGGTCATTGGTCAGCGTTGGAGAGTCCAGAATCAAGTCCTGGAAATATTTTGCATTTAATTGATTACATTGGTTTTTTTCTCTCCTGTTTCTAAGTTTGTTTATTTGTTCTGTGAGGAGAGGAAGAGAGTGGAGAAAGGGGCTTTGCACTTTGATTAGAGAACTTATGTGAAAATGACAACAAATTTTGCCCCATGCTCAAAATGATTAATGGGGAGAAGCAGAGCTTGGATTTGAGGTTTATTGTTTTGGGGTGTGTATTTTTTCCCTTTTTTTTTTTCCAATATCTAAAGCAGATCATGAGTGCTATATGAACTGATTTTTTTTAATATTCATTTAAAACCTACAAAAAAGTAGAATAGATGTATATATTTTACTTCACTGATAGAGAATAGTAAATAAGTTAAAATTGTACTAAACATGCATGATAGACTTGGGCTTTTTTCACCTCTCTTATCCTGTCACGTTTCAAAGTATTTCAAGTACATTTTAATAATTTATGGTTAATGGATTTAAAAGGACCAATCAATGGAGAAGGACATCATGCTTGGAAGGGTGGAGAGGCAGCACAGGAGAAGAAGACCCTGGATGAGATGGATTGATAGAATAACTAGGGGAATGGTGACAGGTGTGTCAGAGTCAGTGAAACTGGCTCAGGAAAGGGCAGGCTTCAGAGCTGTTGTATGTAGGGTCACTATGAGTTACAGGTGACTCGAAGGCACACAACAACAAATAAATAAGATATATTTTAGAAAAAGAAAATGTAGGGGGAAAAAAAGCAGACATTTTCTTTGATTAACTCTTGAGAAACACCGAGGTATTTTTGTGTAAATTGGTTTAAATTTATCCAGTAATACCAATTTCAAAAGAATGGTGGTGTTTCTGTCATTCTTTGGTAATACCACATAGCCAAAGGGGAAAAAAAAAATACATTATTTAATAAAGCAGAAGATTTTGGAATATCATATACATTTCTTACTTTTGACCCAGTATTTATATACATTCTGAAAAGTGTGAGCATGTGATTATGTCACGTGAACAATTTTAACCTGATTCTGAAAATAGTTTGAGAATATTAAAAATAGGTTTTAAATAACATTACTTTCAGGGGAAAAATCTACACCTTTAAGAAGTTCTTTTTAAGTAACACTCAAGGTATATTTGTATTAAATGGTTTTCAGTTCTCTTCCTGCTCCTAGCTGAGAAACATTTTTTTCTTAAATTGTCTGGTAATAAAATCAATTCTTGGAAGCAAGAGTGGCATCCACTTCCTAAACAATATGCCTCCGGAAACTCTATGACCTTTGATAAATGTCGATGGTTGTAGAGGGGCTTCAGGTCTTTTGTTCATAGGGTCGCTATGAGTTGTGCTCGACTTGAAAGCAGTCAACAGCAACAACAACATAGTTCTATTCTGTCTTTTAGCATTGTGAGGACTTCGTTTCATTCTTCTCAATGGTGCCATTCTTTTCAAGATGTAATGTTAGATGTTGTTCTCAAGATTAAATGAGAAAAGACACATAACACTTCTAAGATATGACTTGTTAATAAATACCCATTTGAAATGCATTCCACAGAAATAGCTGTATGTTCTGCGGTTGGCATCTCAACACTTTCTAAATCCATATACCAGTAGAAAAAGAAAATAGATTCCCCCCCCCTTTTTTAAATGTTTAAGGGATACTGACCAAGATGTTACACCAAGATGTTACAGGATTCAGATTGAGATAATTATTTTTATGATGAAGTTCTTTTTCTTAACATTTTTTAAAATTCAGATTAAAGTTTTCCTTTATATTTTATCTTTATTAACATCTTCAGCTTTTTAAAAACCTCCCTCTATCTTTTAATAAAACATTACTCATAATGTTCCTTCCCAGTTGCACCTTTTTCCTTTACCACAAGGAACCCCGGTGGCACAGTGGTTAAAATATTCAGCCACTAATTAAACATAGGCAGAGCAAACTCACCAGCTACTCTGGGGAAAAAGGTGCAGCTGCCTGTTTCCATGACGATGATTCCTATGGAGATGCAGGGGTAGGGGGCGGCTTTACCCTGGCATTAAGGATGATTGTGAACCGGAATGGGCTACACTGTGGTTTCCTTTACCCTCAGTACCAGTGACAAGCATCTTCTTATGTAGTGTTAATCATTTTCTTGATATTATAATATTATATATATATATATAAATAAAAACAGTGCAGGAGAGGAAGACGCTGGATGAGATGGGTTGACAGAGTAACTGGGGTCATGGGTCAGAGACAGTGAGACTGGCTCAGGATAGGACAGAATTCAGAGCTATTGTGCATAGGGTTTCTATGAGTCACAGGCAAGTCATAGCCCATAACAACAATAACAACTTGAGCACAGGGGGAGATTGCCCATTTGTCTCCTGCAGAGCAGTTGGTGGATTCAATCTTCACCCTTTTGCCTTAGTAGGGCAACTCCTTACCTATTAGGTCACCAGAGCTTCTGTATGTATGTATGTGTATATGTGTGTATGTATGTATGTATACATGTGTGTATAAAATATATATCTCTTTAAATAGTATTTTATTTTGCCTGTTTACTATCTTGTGTGTCATTTTTAATGGTTATCCAAGACATGTTAACATTTTATTTTACCTTAAGATATAAAATTACTATTTCTCCTGTTTTAAATTGTTATAACCACTTTAGCATGTAAGTCCATCTATCCCTTCCTTACTTAAGTGCTATTGTATTTTTATGAGGTTTGAGTACATTATTCCTTGATTTTTTTTACGTTATTCCTTGATTTTTAACCTTTTATGTTAAATACTGCTAATATTTGTTTTGCTTGACTAAAACAATCTATTTGTTTAGATAGCTCCTATCTTTACCATTTTTCTAGGGTCAGCATTCTTTCATGTCAGATCTTTTTTTTAGGATAATTTCCTTTTTTCCTGAAATGCATTTTTTAGAAATCCATTTGGTAAATATCAGTTTATAAACGTCTCCATATTTGTCTGAAAAACATCTTTATTGAACCCTTGTTCAGTAAAGAAATACATTTTTGATACTTCTCCTATGTTAGATTGGCATTTAATTTATTTCAAGTGTGTTTATTCAGTGGTTGTGATGTCAGCCAGCTATAGATATGTCATATGTTTACAACCTCCTCCTCTTTTCTAGATGACTTTAGGATCTCTCTGTCTTTGATGGTCAGCATTTTGACTATGATGAGTTATGTGTGGATTTGTCTTTATTTATATTCCTTGAGGTTTATTTGGTTTCCTAAATCTGAGAAGCAATGCCTTTTACCATTTTTGGTAAACTCTAATCTATTATTCTGTGGTGTTACTCTTAGATTCTTTAGAGACTATTTTTCTTCCCTCCCCCTCCCCAGTTCAGATTAGATGTGTAATATATGTGCCAGGCCCTCTTGTTGGTTTTTCTGCCTTAATTCCTTGTGGTTGTGTTCCATAGAGTCAGAGCTGACCCACAGGTGACCCTCCGGGGCAGTTTCCAGAGGCAGTTGATTAATCACATGGGAGGAGATTGCTCATCCTGCTCCCATGCAGCAGATGCTGGATTTGAACCTTTGTCTTGGGAATCTCAGTGCAGCTTCTTACCACAATGCCACCAGAGCTCCCGCCTTAATTCTTTTTTTTTTTATTCTTACTAACCTTTGAATATTTTTTCCCACTTTTCGTTCCATTTTAAAGAAGTTTCTTTACCTATGTCATCCATTTCAGCTATGCTCTTTTCAACACTGTCTAATGCAAAAGTAAGCCCATAAATTGAGTTTCTAATTTCATTGTGATTATTTATATGTGGCTGGTCTGGAGGCCCCTGTGCAGTGACTCCACTGTAGAGGTTAGTTTCTCATGTCTTGATGAGGGTCACATAAGGAAAGTTTGGGGGCTTGTGTTGGTGTATGTTTGGTTTGTTTAATTGGTCTTTCCCTCCACGAGCAGATGTCAGTTGGCTGGACATTCCTTGCCCATTTTAGCCAACAAGGACCCAAGGGTGGAGGGAATCCTTGGTTTACCATAGTCAACAGCATTCATTGGATGTATTTTAAAATTCTGTAACATTCTTGGCGAGCTCTGGTGGCCTAGTGGCAAGAAGCTGCACTGCAGTCCAATAGGTGCATGGTTCGAATCCACCAGATGCTCTGCTGGAGAGGGAGGAACAATCTCCTCCTGTACCAGTCAGATCTGATTTGATGGTACATGCAAAAAAATAATAAAATTTAAAAAATTAACAAAAATTCTGTAACATTCTTTAAGTGGTATAGCATGAGTTGGAGTTGCTGTGATGCCAAACATTGTGCCATACTTGGGTCAAGTATTCCACAAAGGTTACTCATCATGGCCAGTGCTTGGAGGAGCTTCCAGATTGATTCTGCTTTAGAAGCAGGACTGGCATCCACTTCTTATACCAGATGCCTCTAGAAACTCTATAAACTATCAGCATAAACAAATAATGTTAATTGTAGAACAGAGTTCAGGTCTTTTTTTATAGGTTCGCTATGAGTCACATTTGACCTGATGACACTTAACCACTAATAAATAACTGAGACTAGTGTTGTTTTATTTTGGAGGAACATTCTTCTACTTCGTGCTTCACTCTTTGCCAATTCGTTGTACTGAGGTAATCTGGATTTACACCATTGGGGTGTGAAATGCCATAATGGTTTCTCATTGTGGGCAGTGTCTGGTGGAGCTCCCAGTTGTAAAACAGGTTTGGAAGCAGGAGTGGAATCCACTTCCTAAACCCCATGTCTATGGAAACTCTATGAACTTGGAGAAACAATACTTATAGAAAGTCATTAGGCCTTTTTTGTTGTTCATGGAGTGGCTATGAGCCATGCTCAACTTGATGGCAATCAACAACATTTATGTGTGTGTGTGTGTGTGTGTGTGTGTGTGTGTGTGTGTGTGTGTGTATTTTAAGAATTTATATTTTATGTAATCTGGATCTTCCATTGTACATAGGGTTTTGGGAGGCCTGCTATTTTGGAAGTAGATGGCCAATCCTACTTTGTAGTCCATCTTAATCTGAATGCTCAGATTTAGAAAAGTATCTGACAGGCAAGCATTTTACAGAAAAAAAATCAGATGAAAGATATTTCCCCAGTTGTAGAACTGACCAATAGTTTCAGTGTTGTCCCTGCCCTTGACACAAGTGTCTTGACCCACCCATTTCCCTGCTCCAACAGCATTCCCTTCTACTCCCAGCTACTCCCTTGGAGGACAAACACTTGGCAAACTGACTGAAAGAGATCTATATTTGTTCTCATTCCAAAGAAAGGTGATCCAACAGTGTGTGGAAATTTTCAAACCATATAATGAATGTCACATCCAAGCAAAATTTTGCTGAAGATTATCCAAAAACAACTGGAACAGTACATAAACAGAGAACTGCCAGAAGTGCAGACTGGGTTTAGAATGGGTCATGGTACTAGGGATATTATAGCTAATGTTGGATGGATCTTGGTTGAAAGCAGGGAGAACCAGAGGAATGTCTATCTGTGTTTCATTGACTGTGCAAAGGCATTTGACTGTGTGGACCATAACAAACTATGACTAACTCTGAGAAGAATGGGAATCCCAGAACACTTGATCCTGCTAAAGTGAAGCCTATACTTGGACAAGGAAGCAGTTGTCAGAACAGAGCAAGGAAACACTACATGGTTCAAAATTGGGAAGGGTGTAATCCAGGGATGTGTTCTATCTCCATACCTTTTCAATCTGTATGCAGAACAGATTATCCGGGAGGTTGGGCTATATGAGGAGAAGTGTGGCATCAGGATTGGTGGAAGATCCATCAACAATCTGGGTTATGCAGATAACCTCAGTGCTAGCTGAAACTGAGGACGACCTGAAGTAGTTGCTGCAGAAGGTCAAGGACTGCTGCCTTCAATATGAATTGAAGTTCAATATCAAGAAAACAAAGAGTTTCAGAAAATAGTGCAACAATGAATTAATGAAAACCCAAAATCTCTGTAAATGTTCATTAAAATTAATAAAATTTAATCATAAAAAAAAGAAAGCAAAAGAGTCTCATCACTGAGTCGATAGGCAGCATCATTATAAATGGTGACGAGACTGAGATTGTTAACAGCTTTAGTTTGCTTGGTTCCACAATCAACACTCTTGGCACCAGCAGCCAGGAAATTAAAAGACATATTATAATGGGAAAGTCTGTGTTAGAGACCGCTCCAAAGTACTGAAGAGCAACAGTGTCACTCGGGAGACTAAGGTGCACCTCATACAGTCCATGGTCTTTGCAATCACTGCTATGCATCAGAGAGCTGGACAATGACTAGAGATGATAGAAGGAGAATTGATGCTTTTGAGCTGTGGTGTTGGAGAAAAATATTGAATATATTGTGAATGAACGGCTTTGTCCTAGAGAGGGTTAAATCAGGCCGCTCCATGGAGGCAAAGATTCTGAAGCTCCGCCTGATATACTTTCGACAAGTTACAAGAGGGAAGTCATACTTGGGAGGGTGGAGGGACAGTGTAGGAGAGGAAGATCCTCAGTGAGATGGATTGATTCAGTGACTGGGGCGATGGGGGTAGGTGTGTCAGAGACAATGAGATTGGCACAGGATAGAGCAGGGTTTAGGGCTGTTGTACATAGGGTCGTTAAGAGTCCCAGGCAACTTGATGGCGCATAACAACAACAATCTGGATCTGCTTTTTACCTAACCAGATAGTTGGTGGTTTGAATGCTTTTTCCATGGTTGGTGGTTTGAATGCTTTTCCCGTTCCGCAGGAAAAAAGGCATGATAATCGGCTTCCATCAAGATTTTTCCATCCTTCGAAACACTAATGGGGCAGTTCAATAATAGCATCACTGTGAATTCAAGTCAGCTCTTACATCTTAATGTGTAGTGATTACTCTAAGGTTTAAAGTTTATAGTTCTATGTCAATAGTTAACTTTACCTTTACTATACTTAATCACATTTAAAAAATATTAAATGTTCTTACCTGAAATTCTTATATTTTTCCCCCTTATAAGGCCTTATAAGTGTGATCCTGTATTTTTTTTTTTTGCAATAGCTTTCTTTCATGATAGCTTATTTCCTCATATGTTGAGTGTTTTGTTATTTTTGTTCCTGTTTTACTGCGAGGTCATCGTCTTTTGATACTTTATATATTTCAGTGAGGTTTGAATTTACGATGTTTTTCTCCCGAGAACTTTTGTGTTTACTTCTATAAACACAGGACCAATTTGAACCCAGTTTTCAACTTGTGAATTTCCTGGCTACACAGTATAAATTTTAGCCCTAAGCCTATGCGATCTAAAGGAGCTCTAGCGGCCTGGTGGTATGGAGCTGTGCTGCAATCCTTAAGGCACACAGTTCAAATCCACAAGCTGCTCCATGGGAGAAAGATAGACACTTTCTTCCTGTATAATTAAATTCCCTCTGAAAACCCACTGGAGGGTCAGCTGTGTGTCAGTTCCCACTCAGCGGTACTCAACAACAAGAAGCCTGCGTGAGTGAAGTTTTGTGCTTAGGAATTATTCAGGATAGATTTTTGTTTTAGCCCATTTTGTCAGAGCCAAAATCAAATTAATATGTATCTCTCATAGGTTTTTTTTTTTTAACCTGGTTTGTCCATGGAAAATTTCCTGATTGCCATTTGTGCCTCATAAAACCCAAAACCATAGACCATCAAGGATCATAGGCAGGCTCAGAACGCGTTAGGGTGCAGTGCTCATTCACCTAACGGAGTCCAGCCTCCACTGCTGTTCCTTGGCTCCACGCAATTCCCTTCCTTTCCTGCCAACTCAGCTCAACGTAATTATGCATAACACTAGCATTTACAGTTGTGCAATCGGGATGAAGGTTTCTGTCAGCAATTGGTATGTGATCTTGCCCCAAAACAAAACAAACAAAACTCCATAAATGAACTAAAATGTGTTTTTACTGTAAGAATCAATATCTCTTAAAACTTGCAGCATACCCATTCCTTTTCACTTTTAAATAGACAGCTGATTAATGCCTCCTTCCTTACCAGAAGATAGATAGAGTTTTTAAAAGAGAAAATAAAATGATATGTTAATAGTGGCGCTTCCTCAAAAAGCTGAACATAGAAATTCCATATGACCCAGCTATACCACTACTTGGAATATACCCTGAGAATATGAGAACTGAGGCATAATGAGATTTTTACACCAATGTTCATGGCAGCATTATTCACTATTGCAGGAACATGGAAACAGCCCAAATGTCCAATCACAAATGAATGGATTGAGAAATTATGGTACATTTACTCAATGGAATATTATGCAGCATGCAGGAGCAATAACTATGTAAATTATTACTTAACTTGAAGGGACTGGAGAGCATTATGCTGAATGAACTAACTCAGTCACATAAGGATAAATATTGTATAAAACCTTATTGTAGAATGAGTATAAGTATCCAGGAAGGGTGTGAGAGGCTGGAAGCAGAGGGATGTGGATGTGCAGGGGGAAGGGAGGATTAATCATTGGGTTGTACAATTTGATGGGGGGGGGGGTCGTGAGGGAAATTGAAAGAATTTGTCCAAATTTTTATTTTAATTTTGTAAATAACCTAGTAGAAAAATAACACACACACACACACACACACACACACACACACAAAATAGGGGCTATTAGTTGTGAAAACTTAAAGTCGGAGTGACTTGTAAAATTTAAAAAATGTGTAAGATGCTTCTTTTAATATCTCTGTGTAGGAAAATGTTCAGGACTTAAGGAAGAGAATCACTGTACTAGACTGCCAATTACGAAAATCAGAAAGGGCTTGTAAAACTTATGAGGCATCCACCGAAAAACTTCTTCGTTTTGTAGAGGTAAGTTTTTCTGTTAATCACTTATTCTGCGCTAATTTTTGAGAAATTGGCAGTCACCGTATAAATAAAAAATAAATGCCACATTCTTTGGTGTCAAAATATTCTCTAGGCTCAAGCCCACACATTGACCTATTGTCAGATTTGAAATTGTGTGGGTTACAAGCTTACAATAAATATATGAGTAAAAGCAGTAATTGAGACAGGGTACCATCCTTGTTCTGTGTTGCTTTCAGAGAAATTCTTTTTATTGTTGAGAATACGCATAGAAGAACATACACCAACTCAACAGTTTCTGCCTGTGACATTGGTGATATTCTTTAAGTGGCACAACCATTCTCAACCTCCTTTCTCCTCCTCTATTAACATGACTACCCCCAAGTTTCCTGTCTAATCCTTTGGAACTGCTGTTGTCAATTCGGTCCCACATAAATTAGATCTTCACAGAGCATGATGGCCTAGGCAGATACTCTTTACAGCCTAAACTATTAAATAGTTGTAATGAATATTTTTTCTTAAAATCTTGATATTATATAAATACTTACTTTGAATAAATATTTACTCCTTAAGAAATTTTTCTACAGCTATTTCTGTTCTTGAATAGAATTACATATTGGTTTAATTTATTCCCCTCACCTCATATAATAGAAATACTTTTTTAATTACTTGAGGCTTGAGGGTTAGAAATATTAATTAAACAAGAGAAGACATTTTTAAAAGCCATCTATTTTACATAACTTACTACTTCCTTGTTTATCACTAGGCTATTCAAGAAGTATTTTCTGATAATTCTGCTGCCTTATCAAATTTAAGGTAAGAATATTTAAATAACCTCCACAGGGTATAACCCCTGATTTAAAGTATTAAATATCTTTGTATAGCAATCCTGAGATGTTCCATATGCTAAAAGATGTTATTTAGTATTTCATGGAAATAAGTGCAAGAACATATTGGTTTTGGTCTCATCTCTGCAAAGGAAATTCAGGAATAACTAATTAATCTCCAACCTTTTAGAATCTTTGGATATATGGTTAATACGTTCTGCTAGTCATTAAAAGCTTGGAGGTTTGAGTCCACTCAGAGGTGACTTGGAAGAAAGGCCGGGCAATCTACTTCCCCCCAAATCAGGCTTTGAAAATCCTGTGGAGCTGGATTCTGTACTGGCACACTTGGAGTAGACATGAGTCAGCAGGCAACTGGCTTGTAACATTTATGCTCACTGCTTTAGAAGTCTCTGTGTGCTGCAGACAGTTAAGTGCTTAACTGCTAGTCAAAAGGCTCGCAGTTCAGGTGGCCCAGAGGTTCCTAAGAAGGGAAACCTGCCCCTTACACTGCACACACGGGGTTCTCATCAGTCAGAATAGATTGAAAGGCAAATAGCAATAAGAACACGTCAATTCTTTGTCACTAAAATAAAGATAGAAGTCACCTATTATATATTTATCAAGAATTTGGAAAAGATTTATTTGTGTGTGTGTATTGTTGTTGTTATGTGCCGTCGAGTCGTTTGCGACTCATAGTGACCCTGTGTACAACAGCCCTAAACCCTGCTCTATCCTGTGCCAATCGCACTGACTCTGACACACCCATCCCGATTACCCCAGTCACTGAATCAATCCATCTCATAGAGGGTCTTCCCCTCTTGCACCGTCCCTCCACCCTCCCAAGCATGATGCCCCTCTCCAAGGACGTGTCCCTCCTTGCAACATGCCCAAAGTATGTCAAACAAAGCCCCAGCATCTTTGCCTCCAAGGAGTAGCTTGGTTTAACCCTCTCCAGCATGAATCTGTTTGTTTTCTTGGCAGTCCATGGTACATTCAATACTCTTCTCCAGCACCACAGCTCAAAGGAATCATATATATATATATGATGTTTTTTTTAAGCTTACTATTGTTAGGTGCTGTCAATTATATTCCACCTCATAATTACCCCATGTGTGTAAAGGAAGCATAAACCACACCAAATCCAAACCTCTTAGCATTGAGTCAATTGTAATTCACAGCGACCTGATAGGACAGGTGGGACCTCCCTATAGAGTTTCAAAGACTGTTTTACAGAAGCAAATTGCCGCATCTTTCTCCTGAAGTTAAAGTACAACAGTGGGTTCAAACTACTGTTCTCAGCAGCCAAGCACCGGGACTCCTAAAAGAAAGCATTCTCTGTGTGAAGAAGAATTACTAATTGCAGGTTCACTGTTAAAGGTCACTATCAACTCAGCAGATCAGTTTTAAGGCAAACAATCCTGCAGAACATATTCATGCAATCAGTTTCTCTCATATTAATCAACAGATACAAATACACCTTTATTTTCTTGTTATTCACATACTAATTTATACTCACAGCTACAAGTAAGAGTTATTTAACATAAACTTCTTATTAATGGTAATTTTGATACGTGATGGAAGGCATAACCTTGTATATGCATGTTGAAAATTACTTTTATTTTTTGCTCTTGCAATAGCTTCCACTAATTTTTGGTACATTTTATACTTCTAGCAGTGTGCATTTGCAGAAACTGTGCTTTTTACTATGAAAACAAGAGCTGAATAAAAGATTGTATCCTTCCCATATTGTAGACTTCCACATAAGTTTAGTTATAGTTTTCTGAACTATCTGTACTTCCCTTTATAAATCATTTGATGTAATAATGCATTATTTAAAAAATCTGACATTTATTTTTCTTATTCTGTTTATAATTACATATGTACCATGATGATTGATCAATGAGATGTTAAAATCTCAGCTATTACAAACCCCTTGTAAGTAACTTCTCTCTCCCTTGATCTCTTTTCAACCTTGACTAATAATTCCAAAGTTTTAGAGTCACAAGTAAAGGTTTCAAGTTACTGTTTAAAAGCCAGGACCTGCCCTTGTCTTAAACTGCTTCACAGAAGAAGGTCTTAAAAAGTTAAACACAACTACAAATATGTTTCTGTTGTTTTAATATCTAGTATCTCCTAAGAGGATATTGGTTTTGGCCATCCTACACAGAAACAAGGCTATGTGTTTTCTTTTGAGACTTGATGCTTTAGTGTCTCTTTATGAACTGATGCCATTATTCTTAAGAAGATAGATTGTAAGTGATCATGGTTTTATCAATTTTAAATTGTTTCTTTTTAAGTAAGACTTTTAGTGTAGTGGGTTTTTGCAATAAGAACCTTGCATTCTTAATCATGTAACAATGCATTCAGCTTCAGATCACAATAAAATGTTTTTAGAAAAGAAATACATTCATTTCAGATGACATTTGCATTTAAATAAAGCAGGAGTGGCATCCACCTCCTAAATAACATGCCTTTGGAAACTCTATGAACTATGATAAATGTCGATAGCTGTAGAGGGGCTTCAGGCCTTTTGTTCATGGGGTCGCTATGAGTCGTGCCGACTCAAAAGCAATCAACAACAACAGTGTAAGAGTAAGAAATTGTTTTATATTCGTGGGTAAAAATGAAAGTGTGTAAGCGATCATTTTAGAAGCATATGTACATATTGAATTTATATTGCTAGAAGTAATCATAAATATTCAATAAATTTATATTTAAGTCCTTAATTTCAATTTTAATAGAAGCAAAATGAAAGGCAATATGTAAACAGAATATAAGAACTCACAAAATAAACTATTTAGGAGGTGGGCTCTTTATTGTCCATTACTCTGTATATTTATGAAGTCAATTTTAAAATGTTCCCATAATATAGAATTAAAGACAGGTTAGATGTTTTGTGCGATTTACTTCAATTGTGGATATACAAGGATCCCTGGTGATGTAGCGGTTAATTCTCAGCTGCTAACTGAAAGGTCAGTGGTTCAAACCCACCAAGAACCCAGAAGGAAAAAAGAAAAAAATTAGTGATTTGTTCCAGTAACGATCATGGTCTAAAAACCCTGTTTGGCAGCTCTATTTTGTCAGATAGAATGCTTATGAGTTAGAATCAAGTACATAGCACACCACAAAAGCATGCTACAGGAATACAAAGAAATAAATACATTTTTATACAAATATCTAAGAATTTCAATTTAGCAAAGGTAGATACGCTTTCTCATATAATATGTTCAACTTTATTTCCCCCTTAGTGAAAGAAGAGCTATGTTAGCATCTCAGACTTCCCTCACACAGCTGGGAAGGAATGGGCGGAACATCCCTGCAACCCTGGTGCTGGAATCAAAGGAACTTGTGAAATCGGTCCGTGCTGTACTTGATATGGATTGTAAGTTTGTTGCATGATTTTACCATTTTTTTCATAATCTGATTAACAAACGAAGGGCATTTCAAGTCTGACGGTTCCGTTTTCTTAAGCTTATCAGTTGCTTAAGATTGATTACTTGGCAATTGAAATAAATGTCAGCGTACCAATTGCAAAAGGAAAATGTTCGTTTCCTTTAAAACACACACAGGGCCTTCTAGCTGGAGAGAGCTAGCTAAGAATGTGACTTTCCCTCGCCTTTTATCCAGAGCCTCTTTGAAGTGTTAAAAAAAAATAATAAAATACAGAAATAAGTCCACAGCAGCATTGCAAATCCAGAAGGGTAAAATCATTAAGGTGTTTTAAACAATATGTAACAGACAGAGTAAGACTGAAAGTTCAACGCAGTTGAAGAGAATTTCCCATAGCAAGAAAGAGAGAAAAAGTAAGATGACGACAGTTTTTCAAGCAGAGTCTTACAGCAGAATCACAGACAGGGACCACTGGGAGGAGACACGTGGGCGGCCACTCGGTGGCAGTTAATTAAAGAGTTCTGGGGTAGCTGGACCACCTCCCTACTCTCAGAGCTGCTGCCTCCAACACTTGTTCCTAAATGAGGGCCACGAGGCTACCTTCCGAAGGAGCAGCAGGTCTGTTCCTGACACCCCCACAGTCAGTGCTGGGTTACAAAGAGATGCAAAGCACTGCTTGGAGGAGTAACTTCCAGTGTCCAGCAGGCAAGGAAATCATCGAGGGACATTTAGACAATTAGACACGTTCATCTTTGCTTTCTCCTATCACCCAGGCCTCTCGTCATGGATTTCTCCTCCCTTTTCACAACCATTTTCTAGCATGCCTTTTAATTATACAGCAATGAAACAAGAGACCATTTACCTTGCTGTTTGTGAAAACCAATAAAAATGCTTGTCTTGGTTATACAGAAGCTCGGGTGGGCTGGGGGCGTTGGGGAAGGAGTTCCACTGCCAACCCAGAGGCTGAGAACTGACCCATCGCTGACCCTCACGCAGGTTTTCAGGGGCAGTGACTCGCTCAGGAGGGGATTGCCCATCCCTCTCCTGCATGATCAATGATCAATAGTCATTAAGAGAGCTGTGATGACTCAGTGTCATCGTTACACTCACTCCTTGACTTATGATTGCCACTGGAAACAACTTTTAGCTCCACTGAGCTTTCTGAGACTGTGTTAGGGGATTGCCCGTCTTTCTCACCCAGAGCGGATGGTGGAGTCAAACTGCCACAGACGTTTGGGTTCACACCCCTTTACAGGGGTGCCTTAGTAAATGGCACGCAAGTAGAGTTCTGTGCTGAATTTCATGCTTCTTTCTATATGGGCATTCTCCTCCCAAACTGCCTCTGAAAAACCCACTGGAGGGTCATCTATGGGCCAGTTCCAACTGGACTCAATGGCACTCAACAACATACCGTTCCATCACCTTATACTGGATTCCCCCCCTTCTTTGTCCTGTGATTTGAGTAAAAGCTTGGAGAGAGTAAATTGGTTTTCCATTTAACCGTTCATACACATTTTGTTTTATGGCATTAATTGCAGTGTTCATTTTGTAAACTCCTTCTTTCCTCTTCCTCCCTGTGATTTGTGCTTTCACTAATCCCTCTATCCTACCTATTCCTGGCGCCTCATTTCTCTTCCTGCCCTTTGGATCTGTTATGGTTGATTTTTCGAAAGAGTGAGTATCTCCATAAGTAGGCAAATTGAATCCACCAGCAGTTCCAAGGGAGAAAGATGGGCAAACTCCACCCCTGCGAGTTAGTCTCTGAAAGCCCACTGAAGGCTCAGCTCGCTCTCAGTCCCAACACAATGGCAAGAGTTCTTTAATACAGTACAAATGTGCTGCTAAAAAATTGTATCATCTTACAACATTTTAAAAATAAAATTGTACTTCAAAAATCCTTTAAGGAGTCTTCATATAAAGAAGTTATATGAGCACTAGGAAGGATCAGAATACTCACTTTAATGCATCATATGTAAGCTCAGACATCAGCTGTGGTGGGAACAGGGAAGGGGAACACCTGCAGACATAGCCCAGGGGCACTGCCATCATTAATTTTAATTACCTTGCGAACATTAACCTTTATATTTGTCAAAAATGATTATTCAAAGAAAATATTTGAAATTCAGCAGAACTTCTTTGGAAGAAAAGTAAAAAACCCCAACTGCACTTTTTATCTATTGTGAGATTTTTACACCCTTTGATGTTTAAAATAAGCAAATAGTTTCTGTACTGTTCTCTTCTTTTGAAATATAATTACTGATGGTGGTATATTTTTCCAGGTAGTTTTAATAGGTTTATATGATACATCTTTTTAGGTTTGATAATTTAGATAAGCTCAGCTCTTTAAGCAGTAGGGTGTTTTCCCTTTTGCATTGGAAAAGAGAAAGCTAGTACCAGGAGACAGCAGCCACAGTATCCACCTTATTTTCTTTTACTGTGGCTCTCTAGTTGTTTGAAGCTGTCAGTGATTTAATCTTGCTTGCATCAACAATCAACACCATTGGTACCAGCAGCCAAGAGATAACAAGACATATGGCATTGGGCAAGTCTGCTTTCAGGGACCTCTCTGAAATAGTGAAGAGCAATGATGTCATTTTGAAGACTAAGGTGTGCCTGATTTAGGCCATGTCTTCTGAGAGCTGGACATTGAATATAGATGGCAGAAGAATTGATGCCCTTGAATTGTAGTGTTGGAGAAGAGTACTAAATCTCCTATGGGCTGCCAAAAGAACAACAAATACATCTTGGGAAAACCTGTAGCCAGAGTGCTGCTTGGAGGCAAAGATGGTGAAGCTTTGTCTCTCATATTTGGGCATGTTGCTCAGAGAGGTTATTGCTTGGAAAATGACAGCATAATTGAAAAGTGGAAGGTCAGAAAAAGAGAGGAAGACCCCAAGTGAAATGGACTGACCCCGTGAACACTGCAGCAGTGAGCTCAAGTGTCTCAGAGGTGATGAAGGTGGCAACAGGGTAGTACAGGGGTCAGGTCGTTGTTCACAGGGTTATTATGACTCAATGGGATACTTTACTCAACAGCACCTAACAGCAGCAGCAGCAGCAGCATCTGATAATATCAAGTTCAATTTGAAATTTTTACTTGGGTAATTTTATTCTTACTAGAAATCTTACTAAAATAACAAGAGATTTCTTCAGAATTGAAGGCTACATTTTCTTGGATGTTAAAGCATCAAGCCAGTTTCTAGCCAGTAAGGACTTTCTGGAACACAATTCCAAATCTCTTTTGTATCACAGTCGCTTTTAAAATATGATGACAGCTCCTTCCCAGAAATGCACACAGTTTGTACACACAAGTTGTACACAATTTAAACTCATTTTTTAGTGATATGAACTCCAACTGTAGAAGCCCTCAATTCATAAATTCACAGAATAGAAATGCTTTCTACAGGATTGCTGACATTTAGCCCTCATCAGAATACTTGTGTGGAGTGGTGTGGAGGTGGGGTGTGACTCTTAGAAACAGTCTGGAGTTGAACAGTAGCATTGATGCCACAAAAATAATGTTACACATAGATTCTACTCTTCTGAGCACTGCAAATGGTGATAACAGCTCCAGTGGACCTCCTAACCTGTGGGTGGGTCTGTTTCCTTATCTAGAAAGTGAAGATGATAATATCTAAATAGCTGAATTGAGAGATGAGAGATCGGGTAAAGTACCTAACACCTGGTATTATAAGCACCTCATCTAAGATGTTCTATTATTTTCTTAGCTACTGCTGGTGCTGGACCCACAAAACTTATTTAAAGCTACTGTGAATTTAAATTTACTTTCTCCCCATGGTAGGTACTAAATCATTGTTGTTTAAACCTCTTTCAAGTTTAAAAGCATGGTAAATAAGTCCTTTTCTTAAATATGTGTCACTTAATCTAATCATTGACTTTTGAGTTGCTATGTAGTCATCACATGAAATTGTGGTTAAATGTCTAAATCAGCAACTTCTATTTCAGTTGTTTGTTGTTAACCATGTGTAAACCTTGGCCTATTTGGTTACATTATTTCCATTGAAAGAAAAAAAAGTATGAAAACAAAATAGGCATTTTTCCCCCCAATCAGTCTTGGAATATCTGAGGATGCACGCATGTTGATCTCCATCAATATCTACATGGCAAGTAGCATTATGACGCCTAAGTTCAATCTTTTCTTGAAATTGCTGCTCAGTTTGCATTATCATCATTGATTGACACCTACTTTGACAAAATAATTCTGTAATGAAACCAGAGGAAAACTGGCCTTAAAAAAATATACATAATAAAACAAATCTGACTCGATATCATATGCGGTCGAGTCGAGCACTGCTCATAGTGACCCTATGAACAAAAGGCCTGAGACCTCTTTACAACACAAGACATTTATCAAAGGTCATAGAGTTTCCAGGGGCATGTTGTTTAGGAAGTGGATGCCATTCCTCCTTCCATACCTGTCTCAAACACAAACTGGGAGCTCCACCAACCTGTGGCATGTCCACCACAGGTGGTATATCCTATAGGAGTCCTTTAATAAAAAAATAGAATGTATTTACTTCCTGCTAAATTTGCAGTTCTAAGCACCATCTTCTCATGAGATTCCTATGGACACAGTATATGGAATATAAAATTAGAGTGAACATTTTCACAATCAGTACCAATTGCGGGTAAATCCTGAAAGCCGTTTAAGATACATAGCTGGTAGAACCACACTGACCAATAGCACAGAGGGCCAACCCGTTACACCCTCCGCTGAAGAGAAGCAGCAATTATGGAAATACCTGGAGGGATTTCTGGCCAGAGGACACGGCCGGAGAAGGACTGTTTTCACTCTTTTCTCTATATTGGAGAGTCACCGGTATTTGTTTACATCCCTAGGGGTCATGCAGATTCTGTGTCAAGGGGAAGGCCAAGTGGACACACTGTATCTGACATGCGCATGGAACATGCAGGAAACTTGAAGTGCAAAGGGCACGCAGCACGGCTGCTTCTGCACCAAAGGCCATTATT